GGACTTGGATGCAGAATCCGATTGAGAGGGTCTGACTCCTCAGCAGTATGGGCTGCTACAACAACAACAACGCTTAATCCAATATCGTATTTCAATGAGAGCTTTCTTGCAGTCAAAAGTGACTCTCGATTTAAAGGCACTTGGCTTTTAGGGCCGCCTGATTATCGAGATATATAATAACTTCGGCTGCCCTCTTAATTGCAAGAATTTCCGCCTGAAATAACTCTTCAACTGTCAATAACCTCATATGAGTGTTTAATCATTGGATTGGGGCAGAATACTTCCAAACCCAGTTGCCTTCATCCAACTTGATGCCGTCTGTATACAAATCCAGACCCTTCAAAGGAAGTTCGTTCAGCGCCAGCCCAGATATCCCTATCAGGTATCTTAACGTCAAAATGATTGAAGTCGTGAGAGATGCTTTCAATTGCAAGAAACCTCTTTTAGGGACCATGCATCTACACAAACATTTCTCAGGCGCCCTAATATTTACAGAAGATATTCGATGACTTCTTGGAATTTCCCTTTTTTCGGTATGGAAGGCATTGTAGAAACATGGAAGATTTTGGAAACCTTGTCATACACCAATACTTTAGATGTTGTCTCTCTCTACAACTTGTCATCATTCGAATTCCGCAGACTTGCCAATTTCTCCTAATTTTTCAACCCGCGAAACCATCAATTGTCACTCAAATACGCCCAAGACGTCAACGTCAAATAAATTGACAAAGAAACAAATAAATTTAGGATAAGAAGAAAAGAGCAAACAGACTTATAAACACTCTGATATGTACAGATGTCGTCTAGTCTAATTGTGGATGATATGACCGATCCGCAGCACAATCAAATTCGGGTGATGATGATGCCGTCGATGATTATTGGTGAATAAAGTGATGAGAGGTGCTTGCTGGCTAGCTGTCAGTCCATGGGAACAAACAACACAAACAAAACGATAAGCATTTCCTTTTGGATCACAAGCCATCCAGGCGTCAGAGGCGGCTGTGTGACGTTGTCATAGGCCGTCAGTTAGTCAGCCAGCCAGTCAGCCAGTCAGCCATACGATCGCTGTTTTCTGTAATAAATACTTTAATTAAAATAAATTAACAAAACTGACAATTTGGAGGGAAATTCAATTCAGTTTTTGTTGGGTGTAACACCCAAGTATTAGGGTGTGTCTATTAATTTTGAGAAAGATTTGTGATATTTATTGCCACCTCGGGCTAACAAATTTAAATGACAGTTTTATGCGTGCGTCTTATGACCAAATCTTTTTTCTTTGAATATTTTCAAAATCATTTGGCCTCTTGCCAATTTTATGCGTGGGAAAATATATGTGTGAATATTGCTCCCGATTAAATTTAGAATGACCCAGAACCAAAGAAATTCTCCAAAATACATTCATTTCCATCTCCTCCCTCTCCCCCTCATCCCTATAAATTGTTATAAATCATCATCATTCGCCACATGATAGATCTCTCTCTCTCTCTCTCTTAATGATCCATCCTCTCCATCAAACGCAAAACAAACGCGCACAATAATGACAGCGAAATGATCTAACTAGAAAAAAACAACAACAACAACCACAACAACAAATTTTTAATGACTTTTTGAACTCAAAACAGAATGCGAATGAGGAATTTTATTTGAAAGCTTTGTTTTTGGTTGGTGCTGGTGGTTGTGGTGGCGGCGGCGGTGATAGGTGATAGGTGACGTTAATCAAAAAGCAAATAAAAACAAACCATCAATGCAAAATTGCTAGGGGGTAGAAGATAATAAAAGTGACGTCTTAACCTCAAATATTTTTTAGAGAATATGGGGAACCCCAGAAGAAAAATTTAAATTTAAAAATGATGAGGGATCGTTTAGGAGTTTCAACAAGAGAAGTTAGCTACACATGGAAGACCTCTCGGAGGTGTTGCTTCTTTACATTTTAAAGACCTTTTATGTCGCACGGTGTAAACCACATTAGAAGGACTTCTTAAGTCAAATCAAAAATGGGGTTAAAAGGGATTAATTTTAAATTAATTTAGAAATCCACGTTTAGAGGAGGACCTGTAAATTAATATAGAAATTCCCCTTTAGAGGGCCTGTAAATTAATTTAGAAATCCACGTTTAGAGGACCTGTAAATTAATTTAGAAATCCACGTTTAGAGGAGGACCTGTAAATTAATTTAGAAATCCACGTTTAGAGGAGGACCTGTAAATGAATTTAGAAATCCACGTTTAGAGGACCTGTAAATTAATTTAGAAATCCACGTTTAGAGGAGGACCTGTAAATTAATTTAGAAATCCACGTTTAGAGGAGGACCTGTAAATTAATTTAGAAATCCACGTTTAGAGGACCTGTAAATTAATTTAGAAATCCACATTTAGAGGAGGACCTGTAAATTAATTTTGAAATCCACGTTTATAGGACCTGTAAATTGATTTAGAAATCCACGTTAAGAGGATGACCTGTCAATTAATTTAGAAATCCACGTTTAGAGGAGGACCTGTAATTTAATTTAGAAATCCACGTTTACAGGAGGACCTGTAAATTAATTTAGAAATCCACGTTTAGAGGACCTGTAAATTAATTTAGAAATCCACGTTTAGAGGACCTGTAAATTAATTTAGAAATCCACGTTTAGAGGAGGACCTGTAAATTAACTTAGAAATCCACGTTTAGAGGAGGATCTGTAAATTAATTTAGAAATCCACGTTTAGAGGAAGACCTGTAAATTATTTTAGAAATTCACGTTTAGAGGAGGACCAACCTGTAAATTAATTTAGAAATCCACGTTTAGAGGAGGATCTGTAAATTAATTTAGAAATCCACGTTTAGAGGAGGACCTGTAAATTAATTTAGAAATCCACGTTTAGAGGAGGATCTGTAAATTATTTTAGAAATTCACGTTTAGAGGAGGACCAACCTGTAAATTAATTTAGAAATCCACGTTTAGAGGAGGACCAACCTGTAAATTAATTTAGAAATCCACGTTTAGAGGAGGACCAACCTGTAAATTAATTTAGAAATCCACGTTTAGAGGAGGACCAACCTGTAAATTAATTTAAAAATCCACGTTTAGAGGACCTGTAAATTCATTTAAAAATCCACGTTTAGAGGACCTGTAGTAAATTAATTTAGAAATCCAAGTTTATGGTGTTTTTATACCTACCCTCAGCAATATGGCTACAGAGGGTATATATCATTTGATATGGTCGAAACGTGCTTAATAGAAATAACAGTTTTAGACCCTAGGTCTCTTTGGACCAAATCCGTTTCAAGACATTTGGAGTCGATCTAGCTATGTCCGTCCGTCTGGCTGGCTGATGCGCACGATAACTCTCGAAGGGAGTATTCGATATGAACTCGTAAAATGATTGTCAAACTTAGATCAAGTTCGAAAATGGACAATATCGGTCCACTCCTTCAGGTACCTCCCCCACAAAATGTCAACATTTTTCAAAGAATATAAATTACTGCACAGAAGGATAAAGGATAATCCGATTTTGTTCCAAATTTGCATATCCAAATATTTGCATCAGTTCTAGGTCAGGTGCGAAAATGGACAATATCGGTTCACTCCCTCAAGTACACCTCCCCCACAAAGGGTCAAAAAAAAATTCAATAACCAAAACGATTATAAAATCCGAAATTAGCATGCGGTTCTCATCATATTTCACATCCATTCCATTATTTCTACCAACACAAGATCTGCTGTGAAGATGGAATACATCGGTCAACTCCTTCTGGTACCTCCCCCACAAAGGTTCAAAATTTTGAATATTCATGAAGCTCAAAATAAGCGAAATTAACTTCCGATTCCATTCCAGACATGGTACATCTCAATTTTTCCATCAACATAAGATCTGTTTTAAATATGGTAGAGATCGAACCATTCCTTCTTGATACCACCTACCATGGGTCAAAGTTTTGAATAACCAAAACGATTATAAAATCTGAAATTTTCATCCAACTCTCTTCAAATTTCGCACATCCCATTATTTTTACTAACAAAAAATCTGCTGTAAAGATGGAACATATCGGTCCACTCCTTCTGGTACCTCCCCACAAAGGTTCAAAATTTTGAATATCCATATAGCTCATAAAACGCGAATTTATCATCAAATTCTATTCAGACTTGGCACATCTCAATATTTATATGAACACAAGGTTTGTTATAAAAATGGTAGATCCGACAATTTCTTCTGGTACCTCTCCCATACAAAGGCCTCACAAAACGCTCATAAAAAGCAAAATAAGCATAGAACTCTCTTAAAATTTCACACATCCAAACATTTTTTTTTAACCCAAGATCTGTTGTGAAGATGATACATATCTGCCAACTCCTTCTGGTACCTCATCCACAAAGCGTCACAATTTTTAATGCTCTTATCTGTCATAATTGGCGAAACAAGTCAGCGATTCTTTACAACTTGCCATTTCTTTCAACCAGAAACCTGAGATGAATATGGAATTTATTATTTCGCATAAAATTTGATATAAATCTCCGATTTTCTTGCAATTCTGCCCATACAAATATTTTTGTCTGTATTAGATGAAATATGAAAATGGAATGTTTCGACCGACTATATCTCGTACCTCAGCACATGTTAACCTTTTCTCAAAAGTTATCACATATCTCATATGATGTGAGGGCAGTAACCAAAATAGTCCAAACCTGACATGTCGCAATATTTATATCATGTTTATTTGGGTCCTATATAAAGTGGACAATATTGGCCCATTCCTTCGGGACCCACTCCAGAGAGGGTCGACAATTTGTATTGTCTTAACAGAAATCCAAATATATTTAAATAATCGAATATTGGCTGAGGCAATACATCTGTCGGCAAAACCGACTGATACTTTTTAATTTTTTTTTTTTAATTATTTTCTTTTATCTCTTCTTTTTATATCCTTGTTTTTATTGTTTTACTCCTCCATTTTAAAGGCTTCCTATCATTTTTGTTTAATCCACAATTATCTCAATTGTTTTTCTTTCTTTCTTTTCAGTTGGAACATCGCAAAACCTACAACAATGATATGGAGGAACGTTTCCGTTTCAAAATTTTCACCGAAAATCGTCACAAAATTGCCAAACACAATCAATTGTATGCCACCGGCAAGGTATCGTACAAGCTGGGCTTGAACAAATATGCCGATATGTTGCATCATGAATTCAGGGAGACCATGAATGGCTACAATCACACATTGCGCAAGGCTTTGCGGTAAGTAGGAGCATGAATGTTTTTGTTTTCCAATAAATCAAACTTAAATTTCCTTCTTTTTTTTTATTCCAGTGAACAAGGTGTGGTTGGTATGACTTTCATTCCCCCTGCCCATGTGACTGTACCCAAGACTGTTGATTGGCGTCAAAAGGGTGCCGTTACACCGGTAAAAGATCAAGGTCACTGTGGCTCATGCTGGTCCTTCTCATCCACCGGCGCTTTGGAGGGACAACATTTCCGCAAAACTGGTGTCCTTGTCTCGTTGAGTGAACAAAATTTGGTCGATTGTTCAACGAAATATGGCAACAATGGCTGCAATGGTGGTCTCATGGACAATGCCTTCCGTTACATCAAGGAAAACGGTGGCATCGATACCGAAAAAGCCTATCCCTATGAAGGCATTGATGATACCTGTCATTTCGACAAGAATGCCATTGGCGCCACCGACACCGGTTTCGTTGACATTCCCGAGGGCGATGAAGAGAAAATGATGCAAGCTATTGCCACCATTGGCCCCGTGTCCGTTGCCATTGATGCCTCCCATGAATCATTCCAATTCTACAGTGAGGGAGTTTACAATGAACCAGCCTGTGATCCCCAACAATTGGATCATGGTGTCTTGGCTGTGGGCTATGGTACCGATGAAAACGGCAATGATTACTGGTTGGTCAAGAACTCTTGGGGCACAACCTGGGGTGATAAGGGTTTCATCAAGATGTCCCGTAATAAACAGAATCAATGTGGTATTGCCACCGCCTCCAGCTATCCTACCGTCTAAACGATTTTAATTTTATTTTCATTTTGTTTCGCCCATTCGATTTTTTTTTTTTTTTATTTCGTTTTTAGTTTGTATTTTTTGCGTTCTTATTTTTTTTTAATAGGGTAAGTGTGCCTAAGTTCGGCATGTCCCAGTAGTCGGCACTTTTTATTTTTAAGCCCAAATAAATGAAACTTTTATAACTAAATATATTTTGTTTACTTCAAATATATTGTCAGCTATCTTTGTGTACAATTTCGCTAAGAAAAGATGATTTATTCTAATAAAAATTAAATTTCTGTATGTGAAAGTCCTCAACAATCCATATTCTTAAGAGAAGTACAGTAAAGACGTCGAATCAGTTTAACTAAACAAAAATATTATATTTTTATGAATTAATTTATTATTATCATTAATTATTCTTACAAAAAAATTGGTATGCCGACTGTTGCAACATGCCATACAGACAATTGGCAAGTGGTGCCGACTACTGGCAAAAAAGCATTGTTTTAATAAAACTACAAATTTATGAAATTTAATAAAAGGTTATTAAAACTTTATTTATTATTGCAAAAACTATACAAAATTTCAAATCTGAATAAATTAACTTTGTAATGATTGAAAAGTTCCACTCAGAATGGTGAGCGATTACAAACGCGAAAATCCTAAAAGTGCCGACTACTGGTACACTTACCCTATGTGTTAAGCATTTTTATATCTTTTTGTGTTTTTTTTTTTTTAATTTTGTTTGTATAAAAATGAATTATAACACTCATTTGTAACGAAATACCACAATATAGCTACAGCATACACATATACGTAGATATAAATATATATTAAACAAAAAAAAAAAAACAAGCTTTAAATTTCGTTAAGCATTTATATACGGGAAAAAAGTGAAGCCCAAGGGGGTGTTGTACTGGGGTTACTCACTCCTTGTGATACCTCTTGGTCGCTTCATTTATATATATACGAACCCCTAGTTACCTTACCATCATAGAATGTTATACTTGTCACACACACACTCCAAAGTATGTTAAATTTATCGAAATAAAAACTTATGTAATAAATACTAAAGCATGATTTTTTTGTCTGAAATTCAAAATAAAGGCGAAAGAAGAGGGACTGCGAAACGTTGATAGTCCGGAGAATGAACTTCAATTATTGTACCCTGCATCATAGTCTGCATATTAAGTTTGTCATTCCGTTTATAACATCTCGAAATATACATTTTAGATATATATTCTTGATCAGCATAAAATTCTATGACGATTTAGCGATGTCCGTCCGTCTGTGGAAATCACTGTAGCTTCCGAACGAAATGAAGTAGATTGATAAAATTGTACTCAAATGTATATTATGTCTGCAGGACTTTTGGTATTGAAAATGGTCCATGTAGGTCAACGTTTTGGCATAGCCCTCATATAACGGTACCTCCCGACATTCGGTATTTTGATAATTTTAGCGGCATTATTTACCGGAATTGTTTCAAATTTGGTATTTGAAGTTCGTAATGTATACTACATCCTAAGACAGTAATGTATACTACATCCTTGTCTGTAAAGGTCCACGGCTTCGTATAGCCCCCATATAACGGTACCTTCCGATATTCGGTATTTTGATGATTTTAGCCACATTTTTCACCGAAATTATTTCAAAATTGGTATTTAAAGTTCGCAATGAAAACTCCAGGCTATTACAGAAAATTATCTGTGCCGGTCCACGTCTTCTCATAGCCCCCATATAACGGTACCTTCCTATATTTAGTATTTTGATGATTTTAGCGACATAATTCATCGGAATTGATTCAAATTTGGTATTTGAGGTTCGTAATATATACTACAGCCTAAGACAATAAATTGTCTGTGAAGGTCCACGTCTTCGTATAGCCCCTATATAGCGGTACCTCCCGATATTCGGTATTTTCATGATTTTAGCCACATTATTCACCGGAATTATTTCAAATTTTTTATTTGAAGCTCGTAATGGATACTACAGCATATGACAGGGGATTGTCTGTGAAGGTCCACGGCTTCGTATAGCCTCCATATAACGGTACCTCCCAATATTCGGTATTTTAATGATTTTAGCTGCATTTTTCACCGGAATTGTTTCAAATTTGGTATTTGAGGTTCGTAATGTATACTACAGTCTAAGACAAAAAATTGTCTGTGAAGGTCCACGGCTTCGTATAGCTCCCATACAACGGTACCTTCCGATATTCGGTATTTTGATGATTTTAGCAACATAATTCATCGGAATTGATTCAAATTTGGTATTTGAGGTTCGTAATGTATACTACAGCCTAAGACAAAAAATTGTCTGTGAAGGTCCACGGCTTCGTATAGCCCCCATAGAACGGTACCTCCCGATATTCGGTATTTTGATGATTTTAGCCACATTATTCACCGAAATTATTTCAAATTTGGTATTTAAAGTTCGTAATGTATACTACAGCATAAGACAAAAAATTTTCTATAAAGGTCCTCGGCTTCGTATAGCCCCCATACAACGGTACCTCCCGATATTCGTTATTTTGATGATTTTAGCGACATTATTCATCGGAATTGTTTCGAATTTGGTATTTGAGGTTCGTAATGTTTACTACAGCCTATGGCAGAAAATTGTATGTACTGGTCCACATTTTGGTATAGTCCCCATATAATAGTACCTCCATACATTGATGATTTAGACCATAATATGACGGCTACATTTGCATTTTTTAAGATTTTAACAGAATTTTTAACGGATTCTATTTTTTTGTAAATTGCCAAATTCGTTCCAAATGATGGAAGATATTCAAAGTTCGGCCCGTCCAACGTACAGCTTTTTGCTTGTTTTTTTTTCCAAAAATTGTTTCAAAATCCACATTTAAATACCTTGTAAACATTCGTTTTTAATGGGCTACTGAAAATTCATTAGAAAACGGTGTTAAATTCCTTAAAAAAAACTTCCATTTAAGGAACTACTAAATCAATTTAAAAAAACTCATTTTAATTATAAAATCCGCGTTCAAAGGGCTTTTAAAATTTTTGAAAAATCCACAACTAAAGGATTAGAAAGTTCTTAAAAAATACGCGTTTAAAGGTCTTTTAAAATTTTTGAAAACTCCGCATCTAAATGACTTCCAGTTCCTTGAAAAATACGCGGTTGAAGGTCTTTGATAATCTTTGAAAAATCAACCTCTAAAGGGCTTTCTAGGGGTTTCCAAGTTCTTTGAAAAATATGCGTTTTAAGGGCTTTTAAAATCTTTGAAAAATCCAGCTCTAAAGAGCTTTCAAGGGGTTTCCAACTTCTTTGAAAAATATGCGTTTAAAGGGCTTTTAAAATCTTTGAAAAATCCATATCCAAAGGGCTTCCAAGTTCTTTAAAAAATATGTGTTCAAAGGGCTTTTAAAATCTTTAAAAAATCCATATCCAAAGGGCTTACAAATTCTTTAAAAAATATGCGTTTAAAGGGCTTTTAAAATCTTTGAAAAATTCAGCTCTAAAGAGTTTACAAGGGGTTTCCAAGTCCTTTGAAAAATATACGTTCAAAAGGCTTTTAAAATCTTTGAAAAACCCATATCCAAAAGGCTTCCAAGTTCTTTAAAAAATATGCGTTCAAAAGGCTTTTAAAATCTTTAAAAAATCCTTTACTAAAGGGTTCCCAAGTTCTTTGAAAAATCCACGTCTAAAGGGCTTTAAATATCTTTGAAAAATCCATATCGTAAGGGCTTCCAAGTTTTTATTTAAATCTGCGTTTAAAGGGCTTTTAAAATCTTTAAAAAATCCATATCTAAAGGGCTTCCAAGTTCTTTGAAAAATACGCGTTTAAAGGGCTTTAAAAATCTTCGAAAAATCCATATCGAAACAGCTTCCAGTTCTTTAAAAAAAATTGCGTTTAAAAGGCTTTTAAAATATTTGAAAAATCCATATCTAAAGGGCTTCCACGTTCTTTGAAAAATCCACGTCTAAAGTGCTTTAAATATCTTTGAAAAATCCATATCGTAAGGGATTCCATGTTTTTATTTAAATCTGCGTTTAAAGGGCTTTTAAAATCTTTAAAAAATCCATATCAAAGGGCTTCCAAGTTGTTTGAAAAATCCGCGTTTAAAGGACTTGGAAAATCTTTGAAAAATCCACCTCTAAAGGACTTCTGATTCTTATGAAATTCACGTTCAGTGCGCTTCGGAATTGATTGAAAAATCCACTTTACAAGATCTTCTAAATTTGTATCAAAATCCATGTTAGAAGCACTTCTAAATTTGTTTTAAATTCCACGTTAGAAGGCCTTTTAAATCTGTACCAAAATCCACGTCAGAAGGCCTTTCAAAATCCACTTTAGAAGGTCTTCTAAATTTGTATCAGAATCCACTTTAGAATGTCTTCCAAATTTGTATCAAAATCCACTTGAGAACGACTTCACAATTCTTATCAAAACCCACGTTAAAAGATCTTCTAAATTTGTATCAAATCCAAATTAGAAGGTCTTCTAATTTTGTATCAAAATTCACATTAGAAGGTCTTCTAATTTTGTATCAAATTCCACTTTAGAAGGTCTTCCAAATTTGTATCAAAATCCACGTCAGAACGACTTTTTAATTCTTATCAAAATCCACGTTAGAAGGTCTTTTAAATATGTATCAAAATCCACGTTAGAAGAACTTCTAAATTCATTAAAAAATTCCCTTTTAAGGGACTGCTAAATTCATTCAAAATCCACGCTAAATTTGTATCAAAGACCACGTTAAAAGGTCTTTTTTTTTGTTTTGTATTGAAATCCACTTTAGGAAGTCTTTTAAATTTGTATCAAAATCCAAGTTCGAAGCACCACTAAATTTTTATCAAAATCCACGTAAGAAGAACTTCTAAATTCATTCAAGAATCCCCTTTTAAGGGACTGATAAATTCATTCAAAAAACCCCTTTTAAGGGACTGATAAATTCATTCAAAAATCCCCTTTTAAGGGACTGATGAAAATTCATTCAAAAATCACCTTCTAAGGGACGGCTTAATTCATTTAAAAAGCCCCTTTTAAGGGACGGCTAAATGCATTCAAAAATCTCCTTCTAAGCGACTGCTAAATTCATATAAAATTCACGCTTGTAAATCTATTTAAAAAACCACGTTTAGAGGACTTCTAAATTCATTAAAAATCTACGTTTAAATGGCTTGTAAATTTATTTAAAACCCACGTTAAGAGGCCTTCTAAATCCATTTAAAAATCCACGTTTAGAGAAGTTTTCTCGCCAAATTCTTAAAAACATTCCTTACAAAATCCTTTCAAATAAGAAGCCCTTAAAATTGTAGAAATTCTCCTTCCCTTCCCACATCCCTCCACAGCAAAGAAAAGTCCACATGTTATCATTTTGAAATTGGGAAATTTATTTACACATCTTGGCAATTTTATACACACACGTATTAACAACGCATTAGTGGGCATTTCTTTCGTTTTTTTTTTTTCTTCACAGATAAATTTCGAAAATTGTCAAAGAAAATATTAATTCTAATAAAAACAAAATTAAAAGTTAAACTAATAAACACAAAAAAACAGCACAAATTATTTACGTAGAGATTTAAGGGGAGTTATGGGAAATTTAGTTTTAACAAATTATAGATAAACAAAACGAAAAGAAAAAAAACAATACGATTACACAGTCTCTTTGTTTTTTGTTAATAACTACTAAAACAATTTCGGTATGTACTAAATAAAATTTGGGTTTAGACTCTTTCTAGCATTTCTTGTTTGTTTGGTTTTTGGTTTGGTTTGGTGCGTTTCTGGCTTGGCATGCCGTATTATAAATTCGTATTACTTCACCCTCAGCCCCCGCCCCCACCTTATGTCCATGGTAAATTATTGCTAAACATTATGGTACCCACGAGGACATACGAGGCAAACCATAGAAATATCAAACCAGCCTTGGAGCGTAATTCAAATTTCTCCAACGACTTGGGCATATAGTCCGAGGCAAACCAATATACGCATGGCGTTGCTGAGCACAGCAATCTCGTGGATATCTGGATGTGGACAAAGAATACACAAAACACGGTCAGTGCAAAGGCATGAATAATATATGGCAACGTTTTGTATTCCTTGACCAAATAGAACAGCGGATACTTGGGCAAGAGGTTGGCCAGAAAGTTATATAAATATTTGATACAATGCCACAGCATAAACAGGAGTATTGGTGAGGCCAACATAAAGTTGGGCAGTTGTTTCCATTGGTAGTATTTCAAGAAACCCACATGCCAGTAGTGGGACTGAATATAGGAATAGGGAAAGGGGAAATTGTCATCGCACCATGGTGACTGTTCACCATAGCGATAGCCGGACAAAACATATTTACGCTCTCTGGCATAGTCTAGGATAACTTCACTATGATTACTCGGTTTGTCGACAGCACAGAACTGACGAAAGGCATAGAAATTGAAAAAAGTCAGTGGCAACAGTGACAGCACCAGGCAACACAGCACCTTCATTGCCGCCCTCAGCAGCGATGACTGTTTCAATATAAATTTCCTTACTATAAAATATATGGGAAAGCCCAAATTGACCAAACCATTTGAGCGGGCTGCCACATTTAAGGCCAGCGCCATGGCAGCACGCACCACCCTTATTTGACACGAACACTCGAGCATTACATACAGCGAAAGCAAACAAAACACGGTCTCAGAATAGGCGGCCGTAAAGAATATCGAAGCCGGATTGAAGCAGAACAACAAAGCAACATTCCAACTCTTGTTTAGGTCATTAAAAATACGTTGAGTCAGCGCATACAAAATATTAGCCGCTTTGCAAAATAGTGCAACATTTAAAACCACACCCACCAACAAACAGCATGACCGCAAATTCATGAAGTTGCCGAGCAAAAAGTGGACACCATATGCTCCGGATTTCACCAGCATAGGATACAGGGGATAAAAGGCCAGTGTGTTCTCATACGTATAACCATATTCGGCAATGTGCAGGAAGTATTCTGCGTCCCAATGGCGAAATCCATTCAAAGCGAATGTAATGGTTTTATCCAACCAGGTATTTTTCGCATCCACATCGAGAGGGGCACGAAACACATCTGCCTTGTGATCAGGAATTAATTTGTTGGCCAGCAACTGTAACAGCATAACAATGACACGGCTGGCAAAGGCCAACTTGGTTACCTTTTCGGCCATGTCCTTTTCTTGGCTATAAAAATAAAACAATTTTTTTGTAATTCGTAATGACTTCTAAACATCTTTTACTTACGTTCTTTCTTTTGTGTAATTTGTTTTTCTTTTTTATTTGGAAATATCTTTTGCCTTAGCGACCTTACCGGTCAAGAGAGTTTTTCAAGTCTTCTTCTTCTTTTTCTAACTGACAATGTTAGGCAGAACGGAATGATAGCATATCATCTAATGCAGAGTTTATACAAGACAAACTGCCTTGAATCAGGGTTGTATTTTACAAACATTTGTATATTGGGCGAATTAAATATGAAGAAAAGTTAATTTGGTATAAAATAAAAGAAAAGAGGAAATAATGAAAACGAGAGAGGACAAATTGAAGTTATGTAACTGGCTGGATGTTTAGTCATACCATGGTAGAAGAATATAGGTAGAGGCATCGACACCGCTGCTGGGAAAATGAACTTTCAAACCAATTTTGGAATTGAAAATGTTGAATGAAAAATTATTTAAATTTGTAAAAATTATTGAAAACGCGTATTTTAATAACCTCCGAATGACGTCGTATATGAAAACATATAAAAATCGACTTATATTTGAAAATACATTTAAATCAATGTCCCAAAGCGTTGATGCATCTACCTGTATTCTTCTACCATGAGTCATACAAAGTTCGTGATGATCCGAAAGAGAAAACGAACGAAAAATAATTCGATACATGTATTATTTGATTGGAATAAACCATAGATAGCAAAGTAATGAAAGAGAAATTATTAAGAGAATTTTAGATTGACTGTCCTGCATCGAATTTCAGCGTGCATACTTGCCGTCTAAGGAAAAAAGAGACCGAGATTGAAACACTCAAATGAAATTGATATCTTTTTTTCACAGTCTCGTTCGAATCTTCAATCAAAAAAAGTTCATGATAGTATTAAGAAGGTGAAGTCATTTCAAATAAGCGCATCCATGCATGTTTTTTGTAATTTACCTATCAACTTTCATTGCTTAGAAAATAATTTCTCATCTTTAATTTATGTATTGAACAAATTTAGATCAAAATTTTAGCCAGCTTTTGGATATAGTATCATGCTTAGAATCAATGTACGATAGATTTTTGTTCTTTGAAAATTTAGATGTAACATAGTTCCGTGATGTTTTTTTATTTGATGCTTTTTTAATAAAAGTTTTTTTCGCATGTTTATAGAAGTGGGATTAAGCTTCAGATTTTTTAGCTTAACGTTTAAAATATAATATGGGGAAAACATTAACTACAATGGCCATCAAACACTATTTATATCTATAATAGTTTTTTCTATTTTTTTTATATTTATAGTTTTTTTTTTTTTTTTTTTTTTGAAATTGTTATACTATTCTGTCGTTAAAATTTTCATGAATACTCCCATTTCCTATGCGTTTCTCATTCTGCCCATGTTTTGACCCACAGCATCGTTTAAGTATCACTTTCAAACAGTCAGTTAACATTTTCAGTGATTAGCAGCGAGTTATCATTTCACAGTCATTTGCCTTGAAGTTACCATTTGCCAGTGAGTGGCAAACGACGACTCGAGTTAACATTTTCCAGTGTGAAGGGCAAACGAGAAAAGTCAACAAAAGGAAATATGTAGTGGAAATTTTTTGTGAAAATATTGTTTTAAAGTAAGAAAATCGCAACCAAAACTGTTTTAAAAGAACAAGAAACGTGTTGTGTTATTGATGTATATTAAAAACTGACAAATTAGCAAGAAACTAAGGAGAAAAATGTTATTAAAATTATTCTTGTCCGTCGTGCAAAGTGTATTTGTGTAATTCGTGTGAGGGGCTATTAATTTACAGTGAATGTGTGTTGCGTTTGTTGCAGACGACGTTTTGAACCAACAATCTGAGAGGACTATTGTGAATGAACAATTTTCTCGTCACGTACACCAACATCAGTGTTTTTTATTTCGCAAAGAATTGTAAAAACAATGCAAAAATAAAGCGTTTTTTGTCTCAATAAATTAAAAGAAAACACGAATTCAATGTTAAGTTTTATTTGACAATAGTTTATTTGTAAAGTTTTGTTTAATTGTGCTCTCCTAGTATGTAATAATTGAAAAAAGTGAATGTGAAAAGGAAGCAAAAACTTGTTCTACAAAGCTAATGGAAAGAAGAAAAAAACATTGCTAGCTTGGGGTAAGTACATTACGATGATGAGCAGCAGCGAGTGGTGTTGCAAATATGAAGTGTGTTTCTTCTTTTATATGACCTGGCTACGACCTCCCAAGAGATTTTTGCAACCAATAATATGTAATACCTACATAAAATAATTATTTGGAGACCAAACGAAATAGTTGTTAAAATTTTCCAGCAAATTGTGGATAATGTAATATTGATTTTTTTGTGGATCAATGCAATGGGTTTAGTTTTTTTTTCTCTGGGGCTTGTTTGTTATTCTCGTTGTCATTGCTCTCTTTTTTCTGCTGTTTTATGTGACGTTTATTTGTGTTACAAATTACTTTTCATTTTAATCTCATTATAGCAAAAAAAATTCTACTGTTTTTTGTTTTATTTTTGGTTGTTAGGTATTTGGGTTTGTATTTTTCATATATTTTCTTATTAGATAGCTGACGGGCTGGTGGCTGCCAGCCTTCTTTCCCTTTATGTCAACCCTGTTAATTCTGTGAATGTTGGTCATTTATCCATCCATCCATCCACAAGGCATTACATATAAATTTCGTTAGCTTGTTGTCTTCCTACCCTCCACCTACTCCGCGCTGCGCTTATCCGACATTCATGTCTTCTTTCATTTCGGGTCACCTTTTGAAAATTTGTTTTATAAAGGACTGTGTGTGGAGTGGAGTGGTGTGTTGTAATTGCCATATATTTGGAATATTATCAGAATCCTATTTGTGCGATGTTGTTGCCAACCATTCAATAAAAATACAGTGAAGAAAATTTTATTGGTGATCCAAAAAAACCAAGAAAATTTAAGTAATACAATTATATTATCAGTTTTGTTAAACAGAATATAAATAGAATGCAATAAATATAAATTGTTTTGGTGTTTGTTTTCTTCGCCTTAACAAGGCAAAAACTCATAAATTGTTTTGGTTTCATAAATTAAGTTGATTTTCTTATGGCTCACTTGATGGCAACCGGCTTCATGTTGAGTGTAATTCACAATAACTTGATAGCATCGTTTTACTCTGTTTAATTTATTGTAAAAGAAAAACCATTACAGAAACAGAATTATTATTATGAAGCAAAATATATATATTCGTTTTACAATTTATATTCCAATTGGACAATTCACAATAGACATGGGAGCAAAAGAATCATTGTTGGTAATTTGTTTTGTAGTTTTTCCATTTACTTTTTTCTTAATGCTTAATTTAGGGAATTTATAACAACTTTTCACAATTTTTAACAAATTAATTTATATTATATATTTTTTTATTTAGGAACATTTCTTATTTGTATCTCATTCTGGCACACTATTTCTGTGTTGTTTTTTTTCTTCTTTTTTTTTTTTGCAAATAACAGCCGTTTTTCTCAGTGGGACCCAACGGTGTTTCTCTCTGCATAAAATGTAAACAGAGACAATGCTTTGAGGAGGAGTGTTTTAAATGAAGATTTGTTGGTCTTTTATTACAATAATGTAATTTTAAAATAAGAAAAAACATAAATTTACATTTATTTGTATAACTTGATCTCTAAAAGGCGATAAAAAAGGTACAATTGTTAAAAAGGTATTTGTCGAAATGAGCAGCTGTTGTGTGTGTTTTTTTTATACTGACCATTCACAATAGACATGTAAACAATCATGGTAAACAATAACCACATGCAAATTTGTTGGTAGAAAATAATACAAACGTCATCTGAAACATCAAATATAAATGTAAACAAAGTTAACAACTCAAAAAAAAAAAAATTCCATGAAATATTTTTAACTTGCCAGCCTTGTTTCCCGTAACTGCGAGAACATATAACATATTTCTTTCATTTACTGTTTGTAATTTAAATGAATTTCATTGACGATTCACAATTGTTTGACAATAAAATTGACACTTATATCAAAAAAGTTTCAGCAATTGCAGTTACATTGAATTAATAATAGGGTAAGTGTACCAGTAGTCGGCACTTTTAGGATTTTCGCGTTTTTAATCGCTCACCATTCTGAGTGGAACTTTTCAATTATTACAAATTATTACAGTAGTCGGCACCACTTGCCAATTGTCGGTATGGCATGTTCCAACAGTCGGCATACCAATTTTTTTGTAAGAATAACTAATAATAATAATAAATTAATCCATAAAATATAATATTTTTGTTTAGTTAAACTGATTCGACGTCTTTATTGTACTTTTCTTAAGAATATAGATTGCTGAGGACCTTCACAGACAAAAATTTAATTTTTATTAGAATAAATCATCTTTTCTTAGCGAAATTGTACAGAAAGATAGCTGACAATATATTTGAAGTAAACAAATTACATTTAGTTGTAAAAGTTTCATTTATGTGGGCTTAAAAATAAAAAGTGCCGACTACTGGGACTTGCCGAACTTAGGCACACTTACCCTATCATGACAATAAAATAATCAATATCTGACAAAAGGGACACCCAGGACATCAAATTACAATAATAAATAATCTTACCTCTATAATAGCAGGTTGTGTTGTTGTAGCAGCTCAAACTGACTTTTCTCAATCGGGTTCTGCCTCAGAGTCCAGTCTCAAAAAGGATGCAACCTGTACGGATTGGGTCCACTACGAGACTGGAGTTAGGTGAGTAGGTTTGGCTGGACAGCGAAAAAGGTGTAGCGTGTCATGTGGTCCTGTGCCAAAAGCTGGGCAGATGTTCTGCACATCGCTGTCGATCCGGGCCCAATAGGAATTGAGGCGGCTGCACCATTCGGATCTTAGTTGAGCCAAAACTATTCTGGTTTCGTTCTCTCGGATCTCGTTCTTCAGCTGCGGTGGGGGGGGGGGGAGTATTCACTCTATATCCTTGCATAACTTTTGAGACCGCGTTAGAGTGAATACTATTCAGTCCCTCTTGATAGGCCTGTTGATCTAGAGGCTCTCTTTTATACCTTTGTACCTCTCTCTCTCTCTCGCTAGATCATGAAGGTCTTTCCTTACGTGCCTGGGTGGAGGTTGTCTATCCACCAGATGGTGATTCGGATGGCTCAACAACAAAAACGACTGAGCCCTGTTGGATCAATTCCTCTGTGGTATTTCCACAATTTGTAAGATCAACCAAGGCAATATGGGTATCAATGTGAAGCTCCAGATGCTGCTGATAATAAAGGCCGGCAAACCAATAAAACATTACTTTTGAAATGGAGCTTTAGTCACGTTACGTGACGCTCTGCGCCTGTTTAACTGTCCAGCCAAATCTTTCTTTGCCTGGTGTATTTCCAGTGTTTTTTTTAAGACCAACTAAGACAATATGGGTATCAATGTGGAGCTCATGATTGCAAAGGCCGGCTGACCAATAAAACAATAGTCACGTTAGACAACTTTGGTTCGCGTAGCCCACATGATATATTGCATCTCTTTAATTATCCAGCCAAATGTGCTTACTTAGCTTCAGTATGACTATGGCCCCAGACCATACGGACCGCTTCCCTTTTAAGCTTGGAGTTGCAAGCAGCGGCAGATAATAGATAAATAAGAACGAACACTGCAGTACAAGCTGCTACAATAACACATTATATCCAATTTTTAGGTTATAATTCACATTAAACATGGAGAGTCCCTAAAAATATAAACAATTAAATATGTATGATTGTTTTTGACCTCAAAAGTAGTAAGTTACCATATTTAAAACGAAATTCTTTGAATTACTCCAAGTTTGGCCAATTTCTTCTTATTTGAATTTACAAATGCCATTATAAAAGAAGGCGAATGTCCTACTTTCTATCTCTCTCTCTCTTTATTTTGAATGTATGCAAGCAAAGATGCAATCAAAGTCTAAAGCCGTAACGATAGACTCAACGCCGTTAAGGTAGTTTACAAAGACGTTTGCTAAATTAATGCACAATAATTATTTTTTTCTCTCTCTCTCTCTTATGCATAAAAACAATTTACCTATGTTTCCCAATTAGAAATTCATGCTGCAATGGCTGATTGCAGTTTTTCCCTCTCTTTTTCTCAAATATACGAATAGGAGTTTAAAGCTGTCCGTGAATATTTTAACGGCGCCAAAATATTAAGCCATGTATGAAGGTGGGGTACACACATTGAAACATTGGTTAATTTTATTTAATAAATGGAATAAGAATAATTAATGGATAATATAAAACCTTTAAAGAGTTATTAAAGCTTAAAATAATTTATAGCAGATTTAATAATCATATTAAAGTGGATAATAAATTTTGAAAAGCAACGTTGGCATTAAAAAATATCAAAGTGTCGATCACCTCAAGCAAGCGCTTCGCCGGGAATGGGCCAAAATACCGCAGAGCAACATTCGGGCAGCGTGTGATGGTTTATTTGGCCGTTTGAAGGTGACCAATTCGAACAAATTTGTGCCAAAGGTGACCAATTCGAACAAATCTAGACTTATTCTAAAATTTGATGCTATTTCCGACATTTCTTTCGTTCAATAAAGCTTTTTTATCTCACCTTGTATATATTCAATGGGGTCCACGCCGAATATTTAGGTATGTTTTAGGCATGTTTTCGAGGTGGAGGGTATAAAAAGTATTTGAACTTTTTGTCAGACAAAAACTTCGTGTAAATGATATTCGGAACGTTTAAATCCGTTTAGGTTTTTAACTCTAATTTCAAAAAGGGTTTGACCTGTATATGATAAGCCCCTAATGTGGTTGAGTTTAGTCAAATAGGATTCTCTTGTCGGAATAGCTGCTTATATCGAGGTACCATTGCTGAAATGTGTTTGAACTCACTCTTAACAGCTGGTATTGCCAGGAAATCATGTTTGGCTATTAATATTCGGCAAAAAAAGAAAAATTTGAATACTGTGGGAAAATTCTGTGCCTAGGAAAAAAAATCAATTTGCATAAGAAAATTATCATTGCTTTTTATTCTTTCTCTTCAGATCACATCTGCACCTTTAACAACCTCAGCACTTTGGATATTTTGGTAAACAAACCTTTGTTGACAATAGATAAATGCTCTAAAAGGATGACGCTGTGAATCTGTTAAAAAACTACCCCTAAAAATTG